TCATGTACAGTGTGAGGGAGTGTTCTAACTTCATTGATTTACATGCTGCTCTCCAGTTTTCCCAACACTACTTGCTAAACAGACTTTCTTTTCTCCATTGTATATTCTTGCCTTCTTTGTCGAAGATTAATTGATCATAGGTCTCTGGGTTTATTTCTGGGCTCCTTTTCTATTGCATTAATCCATATGTGTGTTTCTGTCCCAATACCACGCTGTGTTGGCTACTGTAGCTCTGTAGTACTGTCTGAAGTCTGGGAGGGTTATTCCTCCAGCTTCTTTCTTTTTCTTCAGTAATGCTTTGGCAATTCTGGGTCTTTTGCGATTCCATATAAATTTTAGGATTATTTGTTCTAATTCTGTGAAAAATGTCTTTGGTAATCTGATCGGGATCACATTAAATGTATAGATTGCCTTGGGCAATGTGACCATCTTAACACAATATTCAAACCTTCCAGGTTGTCAGGTTCTATCTTTCTAGTACATAGTGAGTTGGCTTTGGAATCACATGAGGCAACTTTCTTAACCTCACTAGCACTTATTTATCTGATAAATAAAATAGGATGTTAAGATCACCAATGACACAATTATTTTGAGGATTAAATAACATTAAGTATGTAAAACACTGGCCGGGGAGGGATAAATTAGGAGTTTGGGGTTAGCAGACACACACTACTGTATATAAAATAGATTTAAAAAAAAAGGCGCTACTGTGTAGCACAGGAAACTATATTCAATACCTTGAATAGCCTATAATGAAAAAGAATATATATATGTAACTGAATCACTGTGCTGTACACCAGAAAGTAACACAGCATTGGAAATCAACTATTCTTCAATTTAAGAAAGTCATTTTTAAAAGTATGTAAAGCCCTTTGCACAGAAGCTGGCACACAGCAATGGGCAGTAGGTGCTCTTTATGATTATTTTTGTTTGTGATAGTCAAAAAATCCATTTTGAGGAAGTCCTTTTGGAATAATGTGAATTTTTTTCCTTTGGAGAAAAGGAATACTAAGGACTTGAACAGTGGTCTTATTGGTTCAAATCAGTGTATCACTGATTTTGGTTCAGCAGGTAAATATAAATTTTGCAACTGAAAACAGTTAAGTTAATCTTATGGCTCCTCAGAAAAGGAACAGACACAAACCCTCCTCACTGGGGTTACTGTGAACTGATATCAACATCTGTTTTTTGTCATATCGCGTCCCGCTCCTGGGAGAAGAATCTTGTCCTCCTGGGAGTCCCCAGGGAGAGCCCTCCACACCATTTCTGTCTGTGGGATGATTTCTGCTGGTGGCAGAGACTTCGCAGTGCCCTGGTGGCATCTGCTGTCTTCTGTTGGCTTAGTGTTCCAGCTCAGAACACCTACAGTCAGCAGCCTTGGAGAGTCACCCATTTAGCAGGCAGGGCCTGAGAGCACCTCTTCCATTCTGTCTGTGGTCACTGATCTTGTAGTGGAAGCAGCATTTCTCTATGATTCAGAGTGGGGGGCCTTAGTTAGGGCTGTCTCCCACTCACTGACACCAAGTGATCCCTTTGGGAGTAGAATAACGTTGTCTCCTTAAGGACTTCTATGTTGGCCCCCCTCGGATTTCCAATTTTGCGATCAGAGTCTAACTGTGTTAAACATAGGATCCTGAATCTTTCTCCCCAAATTCTGGTGTCCTTCCTGATTTCTTACCTTTGACAAGGCGCTTGGGTTTTCCTTCAGAATTCTCTGGGTCCTAGTGAGGATCTCAGTCATCCACAGCCTGTGCCCATGTGTGGGTGTCAGCTCAGGTGTGGATGAAACGCAAGTTCATTTTTCTGTAACTCATCTTCAGTTCGATTTTGAATGGCCTATTCCAAAGGATTGGTAATACCATACTCTTTGCCAATTTCTGGTATCCCACCTTTTCCCAGCTGGGGTGGACCTAAATCTGAGAATGTCTACTTTTTGGTGGCAAGTTGGGAGCCTCTGGTTCCTAATGTCATCTCTGTACGTAGGCATCCAGTGAGGAACCTGACATCCTAACTCAGTCATCAAGCTCCACTGAGTTCAGAGACCCCTTCTGCAAGCTCCTATTTAGGTGTGGAGGCCGCCAGTCTTTCCTCTTCCACGGCACACTTGGATGTACAGGGATACTGTTTTGCTCTCACTCCAAGTCCGGGCATAGGAAATCTCTGGGAGACTGTCTCCCCAACCCTGGACCTACCTACTCCCACCACGAGTCCACATTCTCTCTCTAGGGCCCGCTGCCCGCCTGGGCTGTACTCAGGAGTCTGGGCACTTTCCTTCTGTTCTCAGAGCTCACCAGCAGCTCCACGGAGGTTTGCTTGTCTGCATGCATGTGACCGGGGAACACGGTTCGGACTCCCCATTTCTGCGACAGTGGAAGTCGATCCACCTTCTTCTCCTCCTCTCCTATCTCCACCACCCACAACCTCTTCACTCCCGACATAGCAGATGGGTTTGTTTGCTTGAGTTCTAATGTCTCCTGCAAGTAGAAAGCCGTCCTCTTACAAAAGATGTTTTATTCAAATCTCTTGCTATTATTTGCCAGGCGTCTTTTTGGTTCCTGCAGAGCCAAGCCTTTGGCGACCGCAAAGCCAGGCAGGAAGGACTTTTTCTTTTTACTCTTTCTTTGTTGTCACATTGTTTCCTTAAAGCAACTAGCACTGAATCCCTAGCTGCTTGTTTGGGGTCCAGCGAAGCACAGAAACACTGAGAGGAGAATGCTGGTTGGCGGACGTATCTGTTAATATTATCCTGCCACATTTAGTAGGAAGAGATGGAAACAATAATCATAGGGCTCTTAGAGCAAATTCTCCCTCCATCCAGATGAAATTGTGTCCTTAGCCTTAAGAAATAGTGCATAGTTCTGGCTCTGTTCCTGGCTACACAGAGGCTTCAGAACTCAGAACTTCAGAACTCAGAAGCCCTGTCTTAAGTAAGCAGAGTGACAATGAGACAGTTTGTCATCTATGAGGATTTACCTTCGCACTAGAGTTTGGTTCTGGAGAGGTTTCCAAAGGTATGATTCTGTTATATGGTTGGTTCTAGGAAGATGACAGTTTATATAAAGCTGTGACTTTCCTGTGAAAAGTCTAGATAGGTGAGAGTAACACATGGATTAGTCTTTTACACCCAGGAAACTGTGTAACAGAGATAATCATGTTATACTTTCTGAGAATTCAGAGGTGTCCTCCAAGTACCTCTGCAGTCTTAACTATCATTTTGAAATATGTTGCTATTAGTACATATTATAATAAACTATTACTATTTATGGTTAATAATAATTTCTTGCACTTTGAGAACTGTGTGTCAGATACTAAAAATACCTAATCATGTAGTCCCCATAAAAACCTTAAAAGATATATATTATTATCTTAACTTACAGATGAGGGAACTGAGGACAGAGAGACAAAGTAACTTGCCCAAAGTCCCAAGTACCTATAAGACCGAATTTGAACCCCAAAAGTCTGATGGCCAAGAAAAGTGTAGCTACGCTGCCTAGTTAACCATGCTATTCATCATGATAAAAACAGTTAAGAAGTTACGGTGTCTAAGTGACCATTCTTGGAATAAGCTAAAAGGTGAGTTTAAGCTAGAAGATCAGAATAAAAATTTAATTTTTACTTATCACTTGATATTTGTGAGACAAAGTCTAAGTGACCAGTTTGCAGCCTGGAAATGAGACTGGAGTAAGTAAGAGAACAATTTTCTTCTTTTTATTGAAGTATAGTTGGTTTACAAGGTAGTGTTAAATTTCTGATTTACAGCATAGTGATTCAATTACGCATGAGAACAACTTATTTTGACTCTGTTACTTATCAAGGGACCCAAAGGTTCTGTGCTGAGCTGTTCTGGACCTTCAGGGAACCACAGCGGATAAACACCATGGAACTGAAGGTCATCAACTCACAAAAAATAAACATTTTACATGAATTTCAATGTGCTGGAATTTGAAAAGATCAGCCTGTCGGGAGCTGATACAGCAAACCTTCCAATATTGTAAGTAAAGACACATGGAAGTGAAACCTGTGGTTAAGAGTTTCTCTAAACATTCTCCTGACACTGTCAGAAGTGCTGGGGACAGAGAAATGAAAACAAAAGAAATTCCTGTCCTCGTGGAGTTTAACGCTAATGGGAGGAGACTGATCATATCACTAAGTTAATTACAATACTGCAAAGCGCTAAAGAACAAACCACTCTTGTCCAGAATGAGGCTTTATCAAGGGGGCGACTGCGTCCTCGCAGAGAAGGGGAAGCGTGTGCACGAGCCTCCGAGGGGAAGTGCGCGGAGAGGACGCAGGCTCCCCGGGAACCAGCTGCCCTCGTCTGGACCCTCCGCACTCACTCCCGCTGTTGGCGGAGGATCAAACTACAACTGCACGACGGCGGGCGAGCCGCCACCGGGCTGTGCCGGCACCTGCAAGCCGACTGGCGCCTTTACCGTCACGACGACCCTCCCAGGTGGGCACTTTTATTCCTATTTTCCAGAAGAACGGGGTTTCGGAGACGCAGCCCCAGGCGCGAGCGGAGCTGAGGCCGGAACGGGGATGGCGCCTGGCAAGCTCTCTCACACCACGACGGCAGGAAGAGCGACGGGACGCGGGCGAAAATAATAAAAGGGACCGGGGCTGCAACGTGAAGGGGTGAGAAAGCGGGAAACCCAGGGACAGAGAAGGTAACGCCAAGCCGTGCGCCAGCTGCTCGAGGGCT